GATAAAGGGAGATGGGCAGCTAATAAATTGAGCAAATAAATAAATAAATAAATAAATAAATGAATGAATAAATCTTGGCCACTGGTGTGCTGTCCTTCCCAGGAGGATTACCTAAAGGGGCCCAAGCGCATGTTGTGCAAGCAGGCCAGCAGCCTTCTGCAGCCCAAACATGGGCTACTGTGCATTTAATCCATGAAGGGAGCGAGCCAAAACTCACGGGGTCTCCAGCATCACCCGGCAGACGCAGGCCATGGTGCTCAGGCAGTCGGTCGTGTCCTCTATCGGGAGGGTTTTGTTCTGAAAGAAAGCAGCAAGAGACTCCATGGGTTCAGGGGTCTCCTGCTCTTCCTCCCAGGGAGAAAGCATGCTGCATGTTCAAGGCAAGGGAGGGGGCTCGGATCCTGCACAGTTCCAGTCCCCTCCTCCTCAGAGACCCTCTGCAGTCTTGGTGCATTTAGCTCATAATCCGTCTTGATCTCCTCCTCTTGGGACTTGCAAAACTGTCCCCCGGAGATCTCGTCGCTCACCTCCGAAACAAACTTGGTTGTGGCGCTGCTCAGAGTTTTCAGCATCGGGGTCGCCTCGGCATAGAACAGAGACATCCGGTTGGCCATCTCATTGTTGACCTCACTCTCTGCATCCAGCTGCAGGGCAAAGAGTAATGGAGGGACAGCGACCTAAGGAGAACAACTGCAGGGCCAAGGTGGGGGTGGAATTTGCCAAGGGAGGGGGGCTTGCTTGCTTCTGTCCTGCCAGGGATGAGAAAACTCAGCCCTTCAAAGAGGAAAGCGAAATAGGGGCTGCCCTCCCTAATTTTAAAAGCCCACTTGGCTGAGAGGGGACATCGACCCTCCTGATTGGCTCCTTGGCATTTTTCACAAACTGAATAAAGAGTTGATTAGAGTTAGGGTAAAAATGGTCACTATCTCTAAAGCAAATAATAGATTTTCATTAATCACCTCACTGCTTTGCACTGATCTTTTTCTTTTTTTCATTTCATTCATGCCAGAGTTTTATGTTTTCAAAGCAGCAAAGCAGAGAAGCATTTCCTTACTTGCAAATTGTTGATTCGATTTCGGCTGATGGTTCTTCTGTAGTAGCTAAAATCATTCTGAATGGCAGGGTTGGTCATCTGAGGGAGACAAAAGTGATACACGGAGAGTGCTTCCTCCTGACTCTGCTTCGGCTTCACTGGAAGCCCCAACCTTCCCTGTGGATCAGGCCCTGGGGTCGCAGCCAATCCACAGACTGTTAAAATCAGCATCCCCGACACACTCAGGTCCCCCAGCAGACACTGCTGGGGCAGAACAGGGCAGGGAGAAATCCCACTTTAGCCTGGTCCCTGCGGCATCTTTCAGGTGCTTTCTGGCTACTTTGAAACATGGGTTTGATGAGCAGGAGCAGGAGCAGGAGCAGGAGCAGGAGCAGGAGCAGGAGCAGGAGCAGGAGCAGGAGCAGGAGCAGGAGCAGGAGCAGGAGGCAACAAGTTAGTGCTGACTCTTGGCAAGCACATAGATAGATTTTCTCCAGGATAAATGGGTTTAGTACTCTTTCAGAATAAAACACCTGAGATTAGAAAGGGTGGTTGCAAGGAGCTCCTTTATCTTAAACCCCCACCTGTTAAACGTTTTGAGGGACATTTTTAAACGCATGTTTAGTGCTCTTCTGAAAGTCTGTTAATCCCATGTTTCAAAGTAGCCTGAAAAACTCCTGGCGAGCACTTGGGGGCCATGGGGTGGAGCAAGATCCCTTGGGCGGGCTGACAGTTGCTGAGTGTGGAAACCTGTTTCCCCCTGTCAGGACTCTGATCCCAGGGTTCAGCTTCGGATGACTGGAGACCTGGGAGCAAAAGACTCAGCAACTCCCCTCCCCTTCTTTTGCCACCCTGCCCAGATCTGGAAGCCTTGGGATCAGGTGCCAGTGTGGGATGAAGTGGCAAGGAAAAGAGGAGGGAAGGGTCTCCCTCCAATCCTGTGGAGCAAAGCAACTCTATGACCTGGTGGGGAAAGAATCAACTCCCTGCCCTTGCCACCCCTCTGAGCCTGGGGATCTGCTGCCAGGACTTTCAAGGGGGTAGAAGTGGAGACAGGTGGCTCTTTGATACTGGAGAAGAGCCCACAGGATCCTCCTCTGGGGGAGGGGGCAGGATGACAGGTCATGCCTGCAGAAACCTGAAATGGCCAATGGGAGCTGGGTGGATCTCAGCCTCAGCCACGTCAAGGAGGCATCACAGGTACTTCAGATGGCAAGACAGGAGGAGGAAAAGGAAAAACACCACTTGAACATCTAAAGAGAAAGGGAAGCTGCCTTTGTGGTGGGCTGGGGTGAGACAAAGGTCCTTTGGGAAGAGTTGGGGGCATTGCGACCCTTTGTGGGGAATGTTTCTTTACAAGCAGGTGCATTTCCATAGAGGAAGCGGCAGTGAGAATATTTAGACTGTAAATCCCATATTTTATGGAGAATCCATTTTTATGAATTTTTCTGCGCTATAGTTCTTACTGGATTTTATTGCAATTTTATTAGGGGGTCTTACTGGAGCTATTCACCCACTAGGTGATTTTCCCAGAGAACATGGATGGGAGGCTAAAAGCCCAAATGAATGGGGCAGAGGAGAGAGATTCAGCTGAGACGAAGCCCCCGGACAGAGGCAGGGAGCGGGTTGGAGACCCAGGCTGCCTCTGCGTCTGGGCAGGCTTGGTGCATTTCGGTGGCCCAGAGAAAGAGACACTGTTCCAAAGAGCCAAGATGAAACACAGTTAGGAATGAACTACCTCGTCCCCAGGAGCCCCCTTGCACAATTCTCCTGCCACCCCCCGCACCCCTCCGCAAGGTACCTTGAGCTCATCGAAACTGAGGGTGAAGTGCAAGATTTCTGCAAACTGCTTGGCCAGGGCCTGCTCTCTCTCCAAGTGCTGGGTGGGGGCATAGGGGGGGCTGGTGAGCGCCTCCAGCAAGCTCCGCAAGGCGTTCTCTAGGGGAGACAGATGGGGGAGGGAGCAAAGGGCAAGTCAGTCCCCTTGGGCCACTGGGGGGGCTGGCCGATGCTACAGAGGGAGAGAAGGGGCAGAAGAGGCACGTGGGAAAGCCCACCACCTTCCCCCAGGCAGGGGCTGAACGTCCTCCCTTTTCAGCCCAGCCAAGCTCTGGTGCCCAGCTGTACTTGAGCGTCAGAGCATCAGGAAAGGGGCAGAAGAACCGAGGCAGTCCCTCTCTCATGGAGAGAGCCCACAGACCACCATGCCCAGAAGCGCCCCTCTCCAAAACTGATCCTTCGCCCCCTTGGCACTGCAGGAGGACACTCAGGCACCACAGGGCCTGCTCTGATAAAGCTCCCAAACTGCCTGCCTTCTCTTAGGTTACCAAGGTCCCCGAGCAGTTTACAATCAATAAAAAAGAAAGACATGACAGTCTCTGCCTACCAGCACACAATCTGTAAGACCTAATGCAAAAGGAAAAAGCGGTGGGGGGGCTGTTAGAATCGCCCTTGTCGCCCCTCCCTTTGCACACGAAGCAGGCATTCATTTACCAAGTCTCAGGGAAAACTCATAAAAACGCTTCAGCTTCGCCACAAGAGGACACACAG